CGTCTTGATATTTTTCTTCAATATTTTTAAAGGTATATCTTCATCTTGTGTGTCCAAGTTTGTTATATTGTGTCGTTTAAGATTTGTCATGACCAAGTCATTGCTGAGACCAATATCAGATGCTAAATCAGCTGGTTCAGAGTCAACATCATTAGATGCATTGGAGAACTTTGTTAATAAATCCTGTAAAAATAAGTTGACATACTTTAGACTAATTTGTTTTAATGTTATATTTGTAATAATGAAGAGAAATCCATTAAATACCTCGACAACAATAATAGAAGTATTTCCAAAATTTGATTGTTTGCTATTGAATATTGCATTTTCTGAATTGACATCCTAATAAACTTCATTTGGTCAAGTATAGAAGTAGAATATCATGAATAACAAATATCAGTTATTGAGTACCTATTTACCTTTGATTTCATGCAACCATCGATGAAGTTTTTTATAATAACATCGTCTGCACAAATTTTCTTGACTCTGAATGTTTGTTCAAACCTCGAAACTCGACCACATGTAGACTCAACTTTGAAGAGAAACGTCTTATTTACCAGTTCTTCAATCTCATTCGGAAATTCCCATTAACAACATTCTATAAAAGAACCATATTAAACATTCAATGCAATGTAATAAATAGATAAATAATACATAATACATTTAATAAATAATAAATATAGAAAAAAAACCTTATCCTGCGAATCAAACATCTCTGCGCATGATTTTTTTAACAATGTAGCAGCATCCCTATCAAAAATTACAAAAGTTGCTGAGTCTGTTTCATCAATGACCCTCACCTTAAGCTTGTACCTGAAATTCATAAGCAATAAAATATTATTTGTAAGAATTTCATAAAAAAGTTGAAATATGATGCCAAAAAAATAGCATTGATTAGTACCTAGGCATGACTTTCATGACATGTTTATTACATTTTTCACAGAAAAACATTTTGGAATCTGGATATACTGCTTTGTTGCACACACAAGCTGTATACCACCAATCATCATCATGAACAATATGTTTTATAGTGCCTAGAATTACAAAACTTGTTTCCTGTAAAAACAAATATGAACAATAGTAATTAAAACTAAAATGAATAGACAATAACCACAATGAACATCACTAATTAATAGGAATGGAGTAATGAATAGACTAATAATGACTATGACACCTGTTTACAATCTTTTAAACCCTCTATTGTATTTCTAGGAGTAGATTGAAGAAATTCATCTTCACTGGTTTGTTTAGAAGAGTCAGAAAGCTGGCTTAACCCTTGGGCAGGTGACTCCATACTCTCAGACATCCTGCATTCAATAAAACATGAAAAGTCAAATGGACATTTTAGTTGGTTAACACTTCAAGTGAAATTTATGATTTACACCTTTTTTTAAGTTGTCTAGCTTCTTCGCACTCAGCATTGAAAATTATCCTTGTACAATCCATACAATTTTGCACATATACTTTATCTGTAAATAACATATAAAGATATAAAACTATAATATAATATCAATAATTGTAACTAACTATAACTAATTATAACATCAATATATTAGTTACCTTGGAAGATTTTGACTTTGCCGAATTGTATGATTATGACAGGATTTTGGATATCTCCGGATGCAAGGAATGCATTTAGGTCATCAACATATTGACCAAACAACGTACACTCTACTCTAAAACTAAGTTTGAAAAACAACACATGTTAAAAAAAAACTATACTATACTATAGTAAATCCTTAAGCATCAATAAATGGGTTAAAGAGCTTTACCCATCAGCCTCTAAGCATATCATGTTTAGTTTTGTTTTTTACCATTCTTGTCTAGCTCTCTTTCGTCCCAACTCCTGTAAGTATTCCCATGACATCTGTGTTTGTGAAATGATGTTTCATGTGAGTAACACCATATGCTAAATAATAAATAAATAGTATATGATAAAACGAGTATTTAACATCATGTTATATGCACTTACCAACCAAGTAATCTGTGTCAAATCCAGGAGCCGTAATAACCGAGAGTGGTATATATTGACCATTATTTTCAGTTATAACATGACAATCAACTAAGTTCACTTTGGTTCCAAACTGGAAGTTGATTTTGTATGGGTGGTGGGTGGTTTTATAAGAACCACCATTTGATCCAAGACCAAAATTTTGAATAGAGTACACACGCCCCTCAGTAATTTCATTTTGAAATTTATAGATGAGAGACCTCCTAACAGAACCCTGAATTCTGTCACCCTGCATTAAGAAAATGAAATCACAATTGAGTGTTATTTAAAATGTATTGAAAGCATGGTAAACTGACCTTCATATCTTGCATGACAAAGTCCATGGAAAATGGCAATTTGTGTTTAGTGAAATCGAAACAAACCACAGGCGTATGACCTTTGCCAATATATTCCAATTTTCTTTTTCAAGACCGAGTTCGAAACGCAGTGATACTTTTTTTGCAAATTAGACATGTTGCAAACTGAATGTAAAAAATAGATAGAGAATAACCCACTCAACGTAGAAATATTATCATCACAGATGTATATTTATAAGCATGGTGGAAAGAGGGAAATGTTGTCTGTATTCTAGAATTTGAAATTTGAAATTTGAAATTTGAAATTTGAAATTTGAAATTTGAAATTTGAAATTTGAAATGTTGACAATATTAAAGTAATCTGAATTAAAACTTTTGTAAAGGGAAGATATTACCATTTTCATGTATCTGACATCCTGTATTTCCGTCATGATGTAAAAAACAACAATTTTTATACCTCCAGCTTGGGCTAAATGCAAATCAATAAGCAAAATTACATAAAACTATACTGAAATAGGTATAAACAGATGTACAACCCTAATGACGGTCAAAGAAGACAATATTGAACTCTAATCTATAACTATATAGATTGAAAATCGGTAACTTTTAAATTCAAAAACCTTAGATCAAAGCTAATCAGTAACATTTTTTCCAAAATCGGTAACTTTTAAATTTAAAAACCTTAGATCAAAGCAAATCAGTAACCTTTTTTACAAAATCGGTAACATTTAAACGCAAAACCTTAGATACAACCCTAATGACGGTCAAAGAAGACAATATTGAACTCTAATCATGATAAAAAATATAACTTATCTGAACATGCAGATGGAAATACTACTTGAGGGAAGACGTGCAACAAAAGAGATTTCATGCTTCTTTTGAGACACTGATCTTGCATAAAATAGGAAAGATTGCAGCAAAGAAGACGTGCAGAGCGAAGAAAATGTGCAGAGCAAGAAGACTTGCAGCAAACGGCGCAAAGGAGCATATGAGAGCATATGAGATATTCGAGAGAGTATTTGGGCTGAAGAGAAGCATGGGCTTGCAAGTATTGTTGTGGCCCAAAAAAGCAGTTTGTCTTTTTGTACAAAATAGGTATGTTTTGTAAAAAATTAGTTTATGATTTTTTTTGAAAAAAATTGTGGTGATTACACGTGTAGAAAGTTGCTATTTGTGTTACCTGGATTTGTATATAGTTATAGATTTTGTTAACAATTAAATGAAAGTTCATAAATATTAGAATGGAATTTTATTTTAGGATACTAATTTGATATTTTAAATTAAAAATGAATGTATTTATGAAATTTATTTGTTTTTATGTTATGATAAAGATTTTTTACATAATATATATATATATATATATATATATATATATATATATATATATATAAATTATTAGGTAGTGTTGGAATTAGAGGATGAATGTGAGAAAGTGAAAAATAATAGATTTTGGGAAAGAGAAGTGGTAGTGAGCTTGTTTGATAGAAAATGTAAAAAAAAAAAAAAACTGAAAAAAAGTATGTGAAAATTTGTAAATGATAAAAATATATATTTTAATGGAAAAATTTTGAGATTTACTAAATTATCTTTTAAAAATTAATGTTATTATAATAATTAAAATTATTATAACTTTGTTTTAATTAATGATAAATTATTATTATTGGAATAATTATTAATATAATAACTAATATTATTTATATATTTATTATTATAAATATTATTATTATTAAATAATTTTTAAAGTATAATAATTTATGGAAAAAATAAAAGAGAAAACTAAAAGATAATTTTAAAAAAGAAAAAAATTTAAAAAAATTATATTAATTTAAATATTTAATTAAAAGTATTTAAAAAAAATAATAAATACATAATTTATTTACATATATTTTTATAAAAAAGTAATATAATATTGTAAAATAAATAAATATAAATAGTTAAATTTATTGATAAATGGGAAATTAAGTTGTAGATAAAATGGTAATTTTGATTGTAAGATGACTTTCTTAACTTTTCAGGGATTGTTTTTCTTTGCTTTTTCACCTCCGTTTCTTTCCATCTCTATTGAACCAAATTCGTCTAATTCGTTCAAATAATCTCGTATCCATCAGTAAACATGCGGATCCAAACATGACAGTAGTGTTAATGAATAATTTGTCTTAAAGTTTCAAAGATAATTAGAACATCACGTCCTAGAGTTAGTTGTTTTGGTTGGATGGTTTAAGATTTTTATTTTTAATATTGGTAGTTAAAGAAATTAAAATAAAACATAAATCAATACTTAAACAATTAAATCTTAATGATAAAAAATAATTCCTAAATTAAAGAGGCAACATGTTAGTATATATAATAAGGATACAATTATCTGTTCATAAAATAAGATATAAAATTAAAATTTTTTTCCTCTTCAAAAACTTATTGTCATCACATCAACTGAATTTTCCTCTTCATAAAATAAGTCATTTCTTCAATCCGATTTTTTGGGACAAAATTTGGTCATTGGTACGATTAAAATTTCAAAATAAAAAACAGCATATGGGCCATTTATATGCATTATTCTGGGCCAAGAATGGAGTCGAAATACCGGATTTCTCTCCATAGCCCACAAACTCATTCCCCCTTCACTGCTTCCTCTCTTTCTCACGCTCACTCTCGTTTCCCGGTTCCTCTCTCTCTCTCTCTCTCTCTCTCTCTCTCTCATGGCGAATCTAGCACGCTTCTCCCAGCGAGCCCTACGAAGGGCACACGTGTTCGCAAGGCACCACGCTCAACCGCAGCCGCAGCTACTGGCCGTGGAACGCGCTTTCGCGACGGAGGCGGCGAAATCGATAACTCCGTCGCCGGATCGTGTGAAATGGGACTACCGAGGGCAGAGGAAGATAATCCCGCTGGGGCAGTGGCTCCCCAAAGTAGCCGTGGATGCTTACGTGGCACCCAACGTGGTCCTCGCCGGCCAAGTCACCGTCTGGGACGGAGCCTCCGTTTGGCCTGGTTGCGTTCTCCGAGGTGATCTCAACAAGATCAGCATCGGATTCTGCTCCAACGTTCAGGAACGCTCCGTTCTTCACGCGGCATGGTCTTCTCCCACAGGTTTGATTCCCATTCCAACACATTCGTCTCCTTTCCGTTTCTCTACCTTGGAATTGGAAATGTGAATTGTGGATTCGTTCTTTTGGTACGGGTAGTTATGAAATTCCTCGAATTCGTGTTTCGGTGCGCTTTAATTTACGCATTTTGAGTAATGAATATGATTGATGTTCCTTGCTCGGAGTGTTTCATAGTATTGATATTTGTATTGTCAGAATTCAGTAGGGGAAGATAATGGTAATTGTTGGCCTTGGTTCATTTGAAAATCAATCAATTTCTTCCTAGTATATTGGAGATGGGTTCGTGATTAGCTTGTAAGTTCTAACATCACTTTCGAGGATAAAACAGGTAATCTCAATCAAGGATGAGAAAATCAACCGTCAATACCACATGCATAAAAATTATAAATGTATTGAAATATCAACAGATGATGTTCTCATGATGACCAAGATTACTTATTTTATCTTTGTTCACTTTATAGGAGCCAAATTTAAGAACCTTTGGGGGAAATAATGCAGCTTGTTTCATGTAAAATTTAAGTGCAACTGTGTTGTATTCTGAAGGAAATATTCTTATTTTATCTTTATTCACTTTATAGGAGCCAGGCTTTAGAAACTTTGGGTGATATGATGGTCACTTGTTTCATGTAAAATATTCGTGCAACAGTGTTGTACTAAATAGCGTCTTTGCAGGAAATATTTGTTGCTTGGGCTCAAGTCCTTAACTTACTAGTTAACATCTGCTTGTATAAATATGAATTATGTGATATGCTACAAAAAAGATGAGTCATATTTGCGCATGTGTTTTTGTGTTGTTTGAGAAATGTAAATTTATTTGAAGCAAAAGATACTATTTGGTCATTTAAGTTGTTATTTTCAGTCTGGCAAGAGAGCACCTTGAGGTTGTGTTCGACACTGATAGAGAGAAAATATCTACTTACTACAAAGTATCTAGAAGACTACTAAAGAGAATAATAAAATAAGCATTCACCTTTATTCAGTCATTCATAATAGATAAGGAGGATTACTCATACAGTTATATAACGTAAATGGTGCTAACAGTTGCATAATGACCCTATAAGAGTCATTATCTGCCTCTCAGGAGAATTTAAATATATACTAAATATTATTCTATTGTTCTAAGAGCACCTCATAAAATCTTTAGGACTTTTTTCATCTTTTGGATCTCTCTTGGTCCATCCTAACACACTAATGAAATAATTTTGGTTTTACCACTGTTATAGGACTGTTGTACATGTACTTGTATGTGATGGTCTTGTCCGACACTTCCAATCTCCCTTCCAACCATTGTTGGCTGAGTTTCTTCAGGAAAACTAGTCTTTCTGTTTGTTTGAAAATAATATTAGAATGTGATAATTCATTATTAGCGATAGACTTAATTATAGTTTATGAATGTATTACTTATTCATTGTTCATGCTTTCTTCTGCGAAACAGGCCTTCCCGCTGACACTTTAATAGAGAGGTACGTGACAATTGGGGCATACAGCCTTTTGAGGTCTTGCACTATTGAGCCAGAATGCATCATTGGGCAGCACTCCATCCTCATGGAAGGTTCATTGGTGGAGACACAGTCAATCCTTGAAGCTGGGTCAGTAGTTCCACCAGGAAGGCGAATTCCTTCTGGTGAACTTTGGGCAGGAAATCCAGCCAGGTTTGTGAGGACTTTGACCCATGAGGAAATCCTAGAAATCCCCAAACTTGCAGTTGCTATAAATGATCTGAGCAGAGACCATTACTCAGAGTTCCTTCCTTACTCCACAGTATATTTGGAGGTTGAGAAATTTAAGAAGTCCTCGGGTATTTCTGTTTGATGCTCTTTTTTGTTATTCTTCGATGTATCTGTTAGCTGGAGTTTTGCTTGTAAGGAAATAAGAATCAAAACAAAGAGAGCAAGCTTTTGTATTTTCTTTGTATTCCTTGCTAAATTTATTGTCTTAAAACATCACGTTATATATATTTGACTGGAGTGATATGTTCAGAGATGAGATGCATCTTCTGAGCTTTGGCCAGTAGTATTTTTACTCCTAATTGGACAGGTCCATTCTTTTTCCCCTTTTATCCATTTTTTGCGAATAAATATTAGTCCTAATGCTCCGACACGTGGTCAGTATCCTTTCAACCGGTATTGTGTGGATAAACAATCGGGTTTGTTGTATCACTTTCTCTTTCTGCCCCATTTTTATAAACTATTTGTATGCCTGTGCTAATGAGACGCACGAGTCCATTTGAGTTGTGTTTTGAAGTTTACATAGGAAAGGTATGGATAGTTCTTCAGGATGTTACTTTGCACACTTTCCCCATGGTTATATTGAAGTAGTCCTGAAATACTTGTCCCACTGTAATGCGTAAAGATGCTCGATATCTGGTGTACAAAGAATGATGTGTGATTCAAATTCCAGTACATCCATGATTGAAACTTGATGCATCTCCATTCAGATTGCAAGAGAGGTACTTGATGTAAATGGAAATGATGTTCCACCTTCTGTTCTGAAACAAGTCAAAGTAGCCTACTGGCTTTATCAATGTTTTTAAACATTGAACCGGAATACATTAGATTAAGAGGTTCAGTGGTTTAACTGATATTGAAATAGAATTGATATTAATAAAATCATAATAGTAATAATAATAATAATTAATAATAATAATTAATAATATTAAATTAATAAAATATCATAACTATTTTAACTCTAGAAACTAGAATAAGGCATAATTATATATGTTCTTAATCGCGAAAGTACACATAAAAGTTTAAACAAAATATAACATATATGTAAATAAAATACAATATTCATTATTATCAACAAGTTTATATTTAAAAAAAAAATGAAAAAACAATTTATACTTGTAATTCTTTTTAATACTTTTTGGGTCATAATGTTATTGAAGTGAATATTTATTAGTTTTGTTGATAATTAATATTCATCACGAGATTTAATTGAAAGTATTCTCTTCTAATTATGTTTACAATACTTAAATTCAAAATTTTGATTGAAGTATTCGAGTTCTGCTTTCCCTCAAACCATAAGTTCAATATGTTTTTATGTGCCTTAAATTGGATTAGATGAATTGTCTGATCAATTTGAAAAATTATATATATCAAATAGTGTTATTTTAACTTTTTGTACCGCTCAAAACAAATATTTAGTGGAATTTCCCCTTCTAACTATGTCACTTTCAAACACGCTTTTTAATTCATGAAATTTGAATTCAAAACTTTGTTTGAGAGTTTAATACCAGCTGAATCACTCATTTATCAGTCTTCTATTCTTTACATGTTCGAATTTTTCTTTAATTCATCTCAATTCGTTTGACAGTTTCTTAAGCTTATTTTTACATTAACATTTTTGAAAATAATTCTGTATTGTGTCGAAAGGAAATAATCGCAAATAATATTGAATAAATAATGAAGTGGATATTAAATAAACAATGAAGTGGATAATAATTATACAAAAGAATTAAAATCTATCATATTCTCCCATCATTAAAAAATACTTTAAATTTAAATTTAATTTTTTTATAATCTTGTAATAAAAATTTAATTATTTTGGAGAGTAAAATTATACTTACGATTAAAAGACATAAATAAGTTGTATATGTGTTATAATTATTTGATTATCATTATATAACTATTGCTATTTTTTTTTTAATTTTAGAGTTTTTGTTTTTCTCTTGTTAGTAGGGTAATTTTTTCTATAAAATGGTGATGTTATTCAATTTTTTCCATCATTTTGAAAATTCAAACAATAATCGGATGATAAGAAACTTAGCGTTATACATAATCGAAACTTGTGACAAATCCCTCTATTCTGGATTTCGAGGGTTTTTTTTAATTAAACCAAGACCTTATGCAAGCATTAAACTAATTGATTTACACCCATGTCAATATTCACTCTTAAGCATCCACTTCCAATATGTCAATAATTAAAATCAAATTATTAGGGCAAAAAAAAAAAGATAATAAAAAACATTAAACCGTACGAAGACCGCATTGGTGTGAGAATGGAGGATTCTAAAATCTGACTGTAGACCCCAGATTCAAGGGGTGGTGCCGTCGAGCCAAAGATGGTCAAAGATTCTTTAAAGTTTGCTTCTTTCTTATTGCGTGATTTGTTGTCAAACGCATTTCAGTGAGTTTATCTTTGTGATATGGTCTGTGATGATGACATTAACTCCACCATCATTCTCGACCCAAAACTCTTCAAAACAAATACTTTTGATGCTTCTACCTCCCATTTACTGGAATTTCTTTACTTGTTTCTCAGTTTTTGACGAAGTTGGATAATGGATATCATTATTTCACGTCTAGGGAAACCAAAATTTGTTGGAGGAACCTCGTATTAATACTTTGAAAATTAAAATTTAAAAATATTTCATTTGCAGCAGTGGACCAATTTGGGATATAAAATGCTACGATTAGGACATGACCTAAAGTTGTGTAAATTATATATTGCTAAAAAGGGCCACTTGAATTGTAAAAGCAAGGTGAGATAAGAATGGGATTATTATAGGTTTTATTTCTTAAAAACCAATGCTCGAACTTTTATATTAAAACATATAATGGATTTCAAAAAATTCCAATAATAATAATTATTATTCCCTTTTCTTCTATGAGGGTGGTGGAAGAAGAGATAATTTTGAATAATGGGAATTAGTTGGCACAGATGTGTAAGCATTGTTTGAAACATGTTTGACATTTAATTTCTTAACGTTTGTCTCATAAGACAAAAAAAATACATATATAATTATTATGATTTAGATATATGATATTATGGGAAGTTTATATAATAATTTATAGATATTGACCTAACCCTCCTAAACTAGTTCAAGATTTCTCCTATATAATCCTATTCGTTTTCTTCTCTTTGGAGAACTATGAAGGCCATTTGAAGGGTTAGTCTTCTTCCATAACCCCAGAGGCTTTCAATAAGAGAACCTCATTTCAGTTATTTGCTTGGTTGTTGGAGGACAACCTAGTTGAAACTGAAGTCTATGTTCTTCACACACAAGGTAGAAATTGTTAATGTTTAACCTAATTTCTTTGGTGGGGATGTTGGGACGGTTCAATCAAATCAAATCTCCTAATGACTGGGTCCTTTGCTTTGATTGAGCCGTGTCAATATCAATTCCTGCTTAGCATTCAACAAGTTTTTTTTTTCTTAACTTTTTGTTCGTTCGTGTTAAAATAATTCAGAACTAACCTCTTAGCATTTTCAAAATTATTTACTTTTGAAAATTAAGCTTTACCCAAAACATGCATGCAGATATATGAATGCTACAAATTTAGTATATTTGTTCATTTTAAATTACAAGATAAACTCAATTCATTGTAACTATCTGTTTTATTTTGTTAGAATTTTCACGAAAATTGCATCCAAAAATAATCATATAATTTTAACTTTGTTTTTGGAAATATGAGTTTGATAGTATATTATTTATGTTCATATTTCTTACTATATAAAAAGTCCACCAAAACATACTATTAGTATTTTTTAATCTTTTAGATATTTTAATATTTGATTATATAGGGTGAATATAGATATGTAGTTTATGACTGTGAATGATATCATAAAAATGGAAATAGAAATCCTCTTGAAGATTATTCCCAGAAGGTATAGAAAAGAAATTTGTTTAATTTGAAAGTTAGATGATAATTGAAGATAAGAAAAAAATTGATAACGTGATCGAGGATATAGTTCATTGCCTTCACGAAAGATAAATAGAGAGTTAAAATAGTACGAGTGAAAGAATCAACAAGCAAAGGACAAGTTCTGATGATAAAAAAGTAGTCTATTCTATTCCCATTGAAAGGGAAACAGTGGAGGGGCTTCATTCCCCTGTGATCCATTAGAACCTATGTTATACATCGACGAAGAATGGTCACTCCCATTCAGGCCCAAAACTGGGTCCACGGGCCCCAAACTGTTATCGTGCAGGCTCAGGCCCAATGGCTGCATAAGAGGCGAATGATGATGGTTCACCATTGGGCTCAACCCATTTCCAGGACTGTGCGGCTGTGGTGATGACAGAAGAGAGAGAGCACGAGAGGAGTCGTGGACCGAGCCTGTAAGGCTATCGCACAACATTTTGCACCTCAGCCCACCGCCTTCGGAATACGGGCCGGTCCTCAGAAATACCTGGGCCTGGCCCACGGAACCACCTGCTAGATGTGGGCTTTGGTTGTTCAGGGTGTGGTCACCTTGCATGAAGGCCAATTGCTTCCCTTCTTTATAACCGGTTGGAGAAGATCCAAGAAAAAGGTCACTTTGCTGGTGCTGTTGGTTGTGCCCATGAACCCTAACATCACCAGAAGCAACAATTCCACCCCATGTAGGATTCATTACAGTAGTGGACGGGTATACATGTGAACTTGAGAAAGGTAGCAACTGGGTACCTGAAAAAAAAAAAAAAAAAACATCACTAACGTCATAGCGTAGAAAAAAGCTTTTATTTATTTATTTTTTAACAAAATAACCAAACTGGTTGTATGTATTACAGGTCATGAGATTTTTATGATGTAATTTCACAGCATTGATGATTGGGGTGTGCGTGTGTGGAGAGTGTTGGCCAAAGGTGGTGGTGCCTAACCAATAATTGATGGATGTAATGTGTTTTTGTCGAAAAATGTCGAAACCGTGTAAGAAAAACTGGGGGTGTGACACAAGATGTTTAAGCAAAGAAGAAAAGTACTTAATAGAGATAAGAGTATACTAGGATGTGGTGTCTCTCTCTATCTCAAAAGCAAAAGGGTTTTGTGTTGTGTGTGTGGTGACACGTTGTTATGGTGGGCAGTGAGTGGATGGTGATTTGGGTGGAGATGAAAGGAGGAAATGAGGGAGGGTGGCTAAGTGCATTGGGTAATTGTGTTATTTCTTACTCTTTTAAGATTTGTGTACCTGTGTGGGGATGATGAGGAAATGTCTGCCCCAAATCTAGGCACACAGGGGTCCACTCAGATAATGTAGGTGGAAGTGGAAGCTAACCTTGGTAATTCGACAAAAAACTACCAGAGCGTGTTAGAGGTTCTGGTTGGGGTTTTCTTCTCCGTCGGTTGTGCCCATCTAACCGCTTCCTGCAGCTCCTTTTCCCCTCATCAAATTCCTCCAGTGAATGGAACCTACACAAACACAACACCAGTTTATCATTCAAACCACTCCTCTCAGGTAAGATGTCATGTCAACTTGTCAACTATGCCATCAAAATGCACCAAATAAAATCACATTACTCTTAAAAGTGGAAATACCTCATCAGGATTTATCAACGCAATAATACACACACCCCTTAGGAAAGGAAAGTCTTTTTCTCCCCCTATTGCAGAATCTACCGGTATGGGGGCTTATCAATGCATCATCCCATCAAGTACAATTAAAGCTCTACGACTTCAATGACATCACACAGGGTGGTCTCCTAAATTAGTATCATCATACTTACTGTAAATTTATTTAACCATTCACAACTCTTTTATGCACAGATTCCACCTCTCCATCCAAACCATCCACAAGATAATCAGCTATCTAACCATGCAACTATTTGTCTCTATTAAACAGGCATCGTATGGTCTCCATCACTTGAGATTCCCTTTTCTTCTTAAGCATTCTGCTTCTACCTCTCCCTCATCAAAGCTAAATTAAAATGTTAGATTTGCATTTAGTGGTTTTAATTGTTACGGATATGACTCATTTTTTACAAAATGAGTTTGAATCTCATTATCAATAATCAAGCTTTGTTAATTGTTGGTAGAGTTTTTGGTGAGTAATATATCAATATTTTATTGTACAGAGTCTAGAGGTCTTGCATGACCTGATGGTTTTCAACCCACTTCACTTAACTTCAAAATCTTTCAGAAAAAACAACAACATTAACTAAGAGGGCAAATAGTAAGAAATTTCAAGCAAGTCATGAGATACACATAGACCTATAGAGTTATGAAACATGCACCTGCTACACTGCTGGCAGAACCTTTGTTTGTGTCCTCCAATTGTGACTTGTGCAGTCTTGGAATGGACTTCACAGACCTTATGGCGCCTATGATAGTCCCTGCAGTTACTGAGATCAGAGTGGCACCCATCGACAAGGCATGACACTGTTTGTGTCCCGTTGCTAAGGGCACGAGCTCTCTTAGATGACCCACCTGAAGATGAGGATGTCATTTTGGAGACTCCAACAGCATCTTTGGACTTGGTCAATACTGATTCTGTGCCAGAATTCCCCACCTGGCCAAGCTTCAAGTCAACCGAAAATTCCCCCTTACTTCTATACATTCCATATCTGCTTGAGCCTTCCATTGTTTCCATGTTGGGTAAGTTTGCCTGATCCACTTCACTCAAATCCCAAGAAGGTGCTTTCAGATTCCAGTCCATACCAAAAACACTTACACTTTTTCAGCCCCGTCTTTCTTTGCTCCCCTTTCTGTATACCGCACCAGGATGCTTTCAATTGCATGGAAATTGAAAAGTAAGAGAAAATTAGGCAGGGAGGAGAAACATTAATTGGACTAGACCCTCATAAAAAAGAAGGTGAACCAGTGTATCTCTAACTGGTTAATGTGCAACAACCGAAATTCTATTCAACAAGATTTTTTAAGTGGCAACTGATAGAGGAGAAAGGTATTAAAAAAATAAAAAAGACAACCATAAAATAGGCTCCTTGTATGCAACTAGATTGAATATTTGTTTGTCCGTATTTAGCAAAAAGGAGAGAGAGAAGAAACCTGCACCAGAGAGTGTTGAAAAGACGCAATAATGACTATGAACACTTGCCAAGTTGAAAGAGTTCCAAGGAAATCGGAGTTACAATTCACAAAGTTACTTACAGCATATATAATGAACCAAATAGATGTTACATAGGATAAATTTTTTTTGAAGTAAAAGCACATTGAAAGAGAGAAGTGAGTGTTTGTAGACAACAGTAGCTGAAGGATACTTACTTACTTCTTCCCTTCACCCCCAAAACCTTCACTGGCCAGTTAAATTAAGGAACCAGAATTTTTTCCCCTTCTTTTCTGTTTTCTTAAAATTATAATTCTAAAAATGACAGAAAGAGTATGTAATACTAGAGAAGGAACCCCACAAACCATACCTTGTTAGCCACTTAAGAAGGTGAAACTGTGGATTTGTGCAGACAGGAGTGTGGATAATGTATTGAAAGTTGAAGTTGATACTAGGGGAGGACAGAGAGAGAGAAAGAAAGAGAGAGAAGAAGAAGAATGAAACTCAAAAAGGGTATGGATGATGTGCTCTGTTTAACAGGTTGAACTAAATATTTTAACAATTTAAAAATTGCATTTTCCAAATATGGGGCCTCTTCCGAGTATGTAAAGCTTGAGCAAGAATGGAAAGAAAGGAGATATAATAAGGACAGGCTGTTGGTAGCTTTCAGCTTTTTTAGTCAGGAAAGAGAAGTACAAAGAATGGATGCTCAAGACAAGGCATGTGGCATTGTGTTTCACATTTCATGGCATGTCTTTCCTTTATTAGGATCATCTTCCTCTTTTAGATTTCTACACTACAGTAACACCTTGTTTAACTGTCACCAATGACAGATATAATAAAATAATAACACAAAAATACAAAAGATTAATTAAAAACAATAAACATTAACAAAATTACCCTCTTATTACACATCTGAATAAGTACACAAACAATTTCAATTCACGCTTATTTTAGATTCCATGCTGTTTAATTGAAGATCAAATGGTTAAGATTATTCGTAACAAAGTCAATGTAATTGCGGATTAATTAATTACTTATGTTTATGATCTGCTTTGAATTTCGCACGTTTCCTTATTCCCAAGTCAACCTGTTTCTCTTATATAATGCTTTTTTATGCAACATAATAAACAAATTTATGTTATAACCTTTTATTTTCAAAGACTGCACCCGTTCTTATGACAATAAATAAATAAATGTATAATATTTTAATTGTAACAGACGTTTAAAATAGGAATGTTCACTTGTCTATACTTCTAAATTTATGGACTAAGGTAAAATTCAAATGAGTTGAGTTTTAAAATGTTTTGATTGTGAATTTTCTCTTTAATTTGGTTGAGATATTACTGAGTGAATATGAGTTCTAACTTTTATCATTACATATATTTAACCATGATTATACATATCACTCCAAAATTTCACTTAAAGTCAGAAAAAAAAATATTGTTCACGTTAACTTCTTCTTCCTCGCATATAATTCATTCTCATTTAAAATAAATTAAGTTTCATATAAAACATAATGAGAAAGTGGACTAATATATACAAAATACATAATTTAATATTTTAATTTTAATTTAAAAATGATGTTAATCTTTACGTAAGTTAAGTTCATTGTTTTATTGGTTTGATTTTTTTCTATGAATAACAGTGAAAATGACCCATAACCTAATGATTAAATAATCTTTTATAAATGATTCCTTTCTTAAAAGTCTAATTACAAACAATTCAAAAGTGGGTGATTGATTTGTTTTAAAATTTAAAATTAATATTTAAAAAAATATTTTTTTTACTTTTTAGATAAAGTAATTCAATATACATAAATTATAATATGTGTACACATTTTGATAAAATATTAAAAAAAAGTACCGTTGAACACGGAAATGGACCGAATAAAAAATTAGTGTAGTTTAATTTATAATATTTTACAAATTCTTTAATTAATGAGTTAAAACTTGTAATTATTATAATAATAATATTTATAATGTACTTTTTTTATTAATTAAAATTTGTTGAAATTTATAGAAATTACATGTTAGAGTTGAAAAAATAACAAATTTAAACTAACACAATAATTTGTTTTAAAAAATTGTGTTAATAGTTATGCTCATTCTTATAATGGTTTTTAATGAAAAGACTGTGATTTCCTGAACTATTAGTCTTTGAAGAAGGAAACGCCCATGCCATATGGTTAATTTTTGAAGTTATATCAGTAATATATTTATATATTTATATTTAGTTGAAAATGAGAAAACGACGTAACGATAACAAGAAGAAAACAAAACACTTAAAATTCAAAATAAATAAAAAAGTAAGATTTAGTTTTTTTAAAATAGAAACAAAAACAAATAGAAAGGAAAAAAATCTAAGATGGTCTACCGTAATTTATTAATAGAAATGATGATAAAAATGTAAAATAATATAAAAATATTATTTTATTTAATATATTTAATAATTTAATTTATTATTTATAAAAAATTAAATAAGACACTAAAATTATAAATATTTAGAGGAGTTCATGTTTTCATTCCATCTCGTTTAATCTAAAAAATCATCATTCTTCCTGCATAATGGTCCCGTGTACTTTTTTGTCTTGTATTTTTATATAATTACAAATTAATTTTTTTTATTACACCTCACAAATTAAAAAAAAATAACTTTTTTTATTATTAAATAATAAATATAAGTTTGAGTATTTTTACACGAGAGTTGCTGTAATAATCTCACTCACTGTCAGATTTCTATAAATAGGTGAAGTAAGGTATCTAGTGTGAAATTCAAATATTATGAACTTGATGTATACCAAAAATAACTTAAATTAATTAAGACGTTTTCTTCAATTACAAGTATTTGTAAAATATGCATATAAAATATAAATGAATTTATAGGATAATATTGTAAATATACTTATATTATTAAAGTTTTTGTATTTTAAAACTTAAAAGTAATTAACAAATTTAAAGATTACATGAAAAAACAAAAGTTAACATGTTAAGCAACTAATTGTACAGGTTATAAATGTTTATTTATTCTATTTATAAGGAGGATCCATTAACCTTCAAAATAAAAATGTTAAAATTTATTTTGAAATTTCATTATTTATTTATAATATGATAATTAAGATACATTATTATTTTGTATTATAATAAAGATAAAAACATTTCTAATATATATATATAAAAGTGGTAATAGTGGGTCAACTCTAATGTAATCGGTCTTTAATTTGAAAGTAAAAAGTAATAAGGTGAATTAAGTGAGAAATTCTAACTCAATCAAACTATAAGTGAGTTTCGAGTTAGGTTTATATGCAGTAAATAAAATGAAGAAAAAGGCGATTAAAACATGATTTATGGATTGACCAACCAAATAATAAAGAATGAATAAATCAATTTATTATCACAATATTTAGGAAAATTATTTTAAAAAATTATTTTTTTTGTATTTATATTTAATGTTATTGTTGATAATTTGATAGTTTAATAAATTTTATGAAAGACCTAATATAACTTTAGTATTTATTTATACGTAAATTCAATATTTAGTATCATAAATTTTTATTTTTAAACTTTTTATAAAAACACAGAGTCAGAAATATTTAATCTTAATGCTTATTAATATGTTTATCATATTATAATCTAACAACTTAAGACAATAAATACACATAATATGTTAAAAGTTCAAAATTAAAAGCATTAACAAGTTATTAGTTAACACCAACTAACCTCTCATTGCAAAATAAGTTTGGTTAGGTTACAGTAAGTGCAAGAGAATTAAAAAAAAAAAGGTCAACTTAACAAATTGAACTCATTTTTGAGGTTTGAGAATGAATCCAACTAATCACCCCCTACAAAGAGGGTTACACATGTAGGTTAATTGAATGGGTTTTGAAGTCACTTGGTGCTGTATATGTTGTTATGATGAAAAAAGCATATAGAGAGAAATTGAAGAGAGTATTGGTTGAGGTAGGGAATATCATTGGAAAGGAATGAAAGAATGAGATGTGGAGAAGAGTGGTGGGACCATGCATGTAAAAAGAGTGGATGGGGGGAAATGGAGTAGTCAGTGGGAATGCAGGCTTTTGGAGAAGAAGGTCCTGCTTGCTGCCTGGGAGAGGGCCTTGGCTATGGCTAGTCAATTATCACCCATGCCTTTCCATCTCTCTTATCCTCCCACCTAGTTTACCTTCCTCTTACCATCCATTATATGACAAAAAAATCTTTATCAAACTTGATACATCTTGGGAAGGAATGATGAGAAAAGATGTTACAAATTATTATAATATTTATCTTATCAAAATTATAAATTAATTATTTTTATTTTGTTTGAAAGTTTAATTTTACTATTATCTTTTTTCAGTATCTTTTCTAATAAGTTTTTCACATGATTTTCAAAATTACAAATTAAAATATGTAAATTTTTAGATTTTTATAATGATTATCTTAAACTCATATTAGTAATTATTTTTAATGACCTGAAATAATTGGTGTGGATAGACATAAAAGTAGGTAGTATTTGAAATTTTATAGATTTGAAGGAAAAATAATTTAAAAATCAGTAAGGCTTACAATTGTGATTTAATTTTGTTTTTAGTTTTTAAGATAAGTTAGAAAAAATAAATCCTTTTATAATAAAAATATGTTTTATCAACTCTGGAT